GGGGGTTAGGAGCACTTGCTGTTCTTTCAAAGGACCCAGATTCAATTCCCAGCACCCACACGGGGCTCAGAACCATCAGTAACTCCAATTCCAGGGCATCTGGCACCCTCCTCTGGCCTGTCTGAGGCACATGTCCTACATAGACAGACGTGTGGACCAACTCCTCAGAGGAAGAGTACAAAGGTCTGCACTACATGGGGTAGACACAGTTGCCAGGAAAAACAACAACAAAAACAAAACCAAATGCCCGGAGCTGAGGACATGGCTCAGTGGAGAAGGTGCTTGTCATACAAACACAAAGACCTGAGCGTGAACCCCAGGACCCATGTAAAAAGCTGCACATGGGAGTTCCCTGGGGCTCAGTGGTCAGCCAGTCTAATCAATTGGTGAGCTCAAGTTTCATCAAAGAATCTTTGCCTTAAAATACACACATAGAGCTGGACAGTGGTGGCACACGCCTTTAATCCCAGCACTCAGGAGGCAGAGACAGGCGATCTCTGTGAGTTTGAAGCCAGCCTGGTCTACAGAGCGAGATCCAGGAGAGGCACCAAAACTACACAGAGAAACCCTGTTTGGAAAACCAAAAATCAAAACCCCACAGACGCATGCACACACACAGTAGAAAGTGTCAGTCTCCATACAAGCGTAGGTACACACACAAGTGTACCTGCATGCACATACACTCAAAAAGAAAGGAAGGAAGGAAGGAGGGAAGGGAGGGAGGGAGGGAGGGAGGGAGGGAAGGAAGGAAGAAAGGAGACCAATAAAATGAAAATTAGGAAGAAAATCAGAGTAGTATCCCTGTGGTGGGTTGAGAGAAAATGGGCCCCAAAGGGAGAGGCAGTATTAGGAGGTGTGGCCTTGTTGGAGGAAGTATGTCACTGTGGAGGCAGGCTTTGAGGCCTCATATATGCTCAAGCCACACCCAGTGAGACAGCTTACTTCCTGTTGACTGTGGGTCAAGATGTAGGACTCTCAGCTCCCTCTCTAGCACCATGTCTGCCTGCAGCCACCATATTGTACCATGATAATAGACTAAACCTCTGAAACTGTAAGCCCCGCCCCCACCGCTCCACCTACCCCATGGTCCAGACAGATCTCTCTCAGCTGCTCAGAGCCAAGTAAGCACACAGAGGCTTATATTATTTACAAACTGTATATGGCCTATGGCTTTAGCTGCTTGCCAGCTAGGTCTTTCATCTTAAGTCAACCCATTTCTATAAATTTATGTTTTGCCATGTGGCCATGGTGTTACCCGTCAGTTGGCATCTTGCTTCTCCTTCAGTGGTGACTGGAATCTCTCTTGACTCTGCCTTTCTTCTTCCTATCTGTCTCTTGGATTTCCTGCCTGGCTATAACCTGACTCACCATAGGCCAGAGCAGCTTGTTTATTAACCAATGGGAACAACATACATTCACAGCGTACAGAAAGACACCCCCTGCACCATGGTCAAGGTGTCTCTTCACAGTAATAGAAACTGTAAGGCAATCCTGTAAACCAGATGTGGCAGCATAGACCTATAATCTCAGAACTTGAGAAGTGAAGGTTGGAGAATCAGGAGCTCAAGATCATGCTGATAGCAAGTTCAAGGTCAGCCTTGGCTGTGTGAGATCCTAGCTCAAAAACAAGAGAAAAGCCATATATAATCACAAACACCTTTAATTGGGAGGTAGAGGCAGGAAGGTGGCTCATGAGTTTCAGACCATCTTGGTCTACATAGTGGATTCCAGGCCAGCCA